CGGCGGCGGCGGCTGCTCCCGGGAGTTGTCTGGGTGTCGGTGTTTCCGGCGGGCTACGGTCTGGCCCCTCCTCCCTCCACCACCTCCCCCACCCGTGGCGCCACCATCTTGACCTCGCCCGCCTGCCTTTGCCGTTGCTGCTGTTGCAAGGCCTGGAAGCTGCAACCGCGGTCACGCGAGATCGCGGAGCCCGCTCCGCGGCTTGCGTCATAATCCAGCGCTGAGGCGCGTGCCGTGGCGTCATCACGCAAGGCGTTATCAAAGGTTCTAAGTGTTGCCATGGTTCCGCGACCAGCGCCGGCGGCCTTCGTGGCTGGGGCGGTGCCCCGAGGCGCAGGCGCGCTGCGGCAGTCGCGCTCTCCAGTTCGAGGGTGGCAGCTTCACCTGGAGGGGTGTCAGCCCCGGGAGGACGCCCGGCCTCCGCGGACGGAAATGATTAGCTAGTTTATTAGCGCCCAGTATGCACCCAGTAAACGACGTTCAGAGCTGCTTGGGAGTTGGAGAGCCCCGGGCACCGCCCGCCGCGCCTCCCTCACCCCACCTGGATGCCCCCCCCTTGGGCGGCCTCGCGGTGTGGTGCCTGCAGCGGCCGCTTGGCTGGGGACCTTACCTAGAAAACAGCTCTCTCTCTCATCCTTTTGTACCTAACTCTTCCTACCTCCCGCCCAAATGGACAGAACTAGGACATTTTGATTAGTATCAGCGCTACGGTGGCTTAAAAATCAACCTGAGTTCTAGTCCCGAGTAGAGCACATCTGGGCGGTCCCTTCTTCAGGTCAGAAGAAAACACTCTTTCCATACACTTTTACAGGAATCAGGAGATGCCACCCCAAACGCTGACATAAGGATTCTTTTGAGTTGAAGATAAATAAGAAACAGCAGAAGCCAAAAAAATTCTCTGTCACACCTTCCCTGGCCACATGGGTCTAAAAACAGGACAAACTTTTCATCTATAAACTGTTTTCCTCACCAAGAAGAGGAGGACTTTTAACTTAAGAGCTTTTCTAAACACTTATCTTGCGCATACCCTTATATCCCACAGGTATGTATTTTTGCATACTTTACCTGAAAATCCAGACCTCCTTGTCTGTTAGTTCTGTACAAACTGACGCGCGTGCGCTCTCTATCAGTTCAGGACTCCAGCGACAGAACCTAAAGTTATTTATTTTTCCTGCTTTAGGCTTTCTTACCTATTTATGCAATTACTTTTTAAAAAGATTTTTTTTTCTTTATGCGTACAAGAACAGGGATGGAGACCAGAGTTGGGGGGGAAGGGAGGGTGGTGAGAGGATTCACCAAAGACAGGGGGGAGAAGAACAGAGGGATAGACTGAAGTACACTGCTGAGGGGAGCAGCTGACAGGAGAGGTCTGCTGCGCCACGTGGATCACCTTGCTGGCCTGGGGAGCTCATGGTAGTGACTGGAGATAGCTTGATAGCACTGAGACTAGCCCTGTGTCACCAGAGAGGCTCTATTCATGTAATTAATGCAGCGTCACCATCTCTGTCATCTGATTCTTGTCCAACAAGTGAGTAAATTTAGTCAGTTTTGCACTATAGACCCAGTCTTGCACTATAGACCCATGACTTTAAGTAGGTATAAACCAGGATGCAAGAAGCCCGTAACCCTGTTTATAGGTTTCTATTTTAGGTAATTATCCTCTTATCAGTTAAGGACAAGCCAGAGGATTGACTATTGTCAGAACTCCTCCAGGATTCCTTCTTTTAGGTGGAGATAGAATATTGGTAGAGTGTTGAACCAGCCCCCAACACCTCACTCCAGTTTCAAGTTTCTGACCTATTGTTAGCTCTGCAAAATAATGACTCACCTTTAGTGTTACCATGTGCCAAGCACTGTGCTAAGAGTTATTTTGTGGGTATTGTTATCTCTACAGAAGAGGGGAATGAGGCTTAGATAAGTTTTGGGTGATCACAGTGCAGGGTGGCTAGCATGTCTAAGTAAGGATTTGAACCCAGGGCTACCTGAGACTCAGAAATTAAGTATTGATTCCTTCCTTTTTTCCACCCACAGCCAATCTACAGCCAAATCTTGTCCATTCTTCACAGTTGCTTGTAACGTCTTCCTCTGTGTTAACACTACCACTATCCTGGCCCTCAGTAGTTGCCTGGCTTGTTGCAGTGTCCTTGTTAGTCAGCACTTTCCTAATCCGGTCTGTTTACCTCAGCCAGGTTAATTTTCCTAAACTACACACCTGGGGAATAACCTTGTGGTTCTGACAAAATTCCCAAGGGAAGATGAGAAGACTGAAGACATTTAGAGACCTCAGGGATGTAAATTAGTTTCTCAGTCCATTTGTTATTCTGCCCTGACTGAAATCCCAAGCAAAAGAAAGAAGCCATTATGTCAAAAAGAGCCCACAAGGACTAAGTGTGGGAAGAGGAGACAGAGGGTGAATATCATTATATTAGGTTCATGCAAAGTAAATAAAATAGGGCCCTACCTGGTGGCACAACGGGATAAAGCACAGCACTATGAAGCTCTCTGCAGCCACTACAGCACAAGTTTGATCCCCTGCCAAGGAGGTGACCCACATGGTGTGGCAGACCTCTCCTGACCCGCCCACTGCTCCCCTCAGCAGTGTACTTCATCAGTCCGCTGGTTCTGCTCCCCGCTTTGTCTCTGGTGAATCCTCTCACTGCCCCTGCACCTCTGGCCTGTACCCCAGTTCTGTATGCATAAATAAGTAAATCTTTAAAAAAAACAAAAACAACTATATACCAATTGGGCAGTTTTTAGAATGCTTAGGGATTGTTCAGATAAGAGACTCAAGAGTTTCTACATTGATTTGAATGTCGCCCAATTCAGGTGTACAATATATTGAGTCTACCCAGAACCGTGTAGCTTCCTCAACTGGAGGAAGCTGTAGGAGTATTTAGATTTACCCACCCCAATGCTGTATTTTCTTCAGATGAGGGTGCTGGTAGAAGGAGGAGGGATTGATAACCCAAGGAACAGGAGGTACTGAATTATACCTCAAAGCTTAGGCATTACTTACCAAAATAATTTTTGAACTTAAATTACTTTAGAGTAATTTTGCCCATCAAAATTCAACTATTTGAATTGTCTGATTTTGTAAATGTCAAATGAATAGAAAGTCTTGCTTAATTAACAGGGTAACAAGAGAGAATATAGTGCATTTTAAGTGGATTTTGAGCATATACTGACAGACTGGCTCATTCATTTGTTCATCCACCCACCCACCCATGCAACTGTGCACTTTAAATATGCCTTGACATGGTGCTTGTCCACTTCTGCCCCTTACTAGTTCTCTGACTAAACAAAGTATCCTCATCTGAGGAGGAAAATGTTACTTGTTAGATAAGATACAAAACAAGCACAATCTAATTTAATCCTGAGCAAGCTTGTCTAAGGATGCCTGCAAGTAATGACAGTAGAGAAGTCCTGTTTTTCTGACTTCAGAACCTAAGATTTGATTCTCTGCTAGTAATTTCTCATGCTTGTTACATAAATTAATATATTTTAAGTACTTTTATGTAATATCATCCATTTTAGGAGGAAAAACTCCTTAAAATCCCTATTAATGTGTGGCAATAACTCCCTTCATGGGGCAGGAGTACTGGGAAGATATTCTTTATTAGTTTGCATTATTATATGTGACCAGTTTAACTATGTTAATTAGCTAGGGACTATTCTGGAATAACCTGAAGCCTGAGCTACTGCTGAAAGAGCACGAAACTGTATTATTACTGTCAAGTAATTAATACTCATGAAGGAAGAGCACCCAGAGAAAATGGAAATTGTGTCCCACGGATAGGTGGAAAGTATAGGAACCATCACCCTACACAGGATCCTGTCGTCTTATTTCATAGCTGCACCCAACTATGCAGGGTAAGCAGGCAAGATGAGTTACTATTGTAAAGATGTCAGTTTTGCTCTGTAAATTCAATGTAATAACTTCAATTTCAAAAGGTTTTTCCACCATTTCACCAAACTGGTATTTTCTAGTTGTGAAGTACATGATAGCACCAGTGAATCCCATGACCATGAGTCCACTGTATACACTCGACTGTAAGAGAAGGTCTCTAAGTGAAAGGCAACATCACATGGGATACAAATGGATGGCTCAAACACATGTGAATGATTCTCCGGATAAAAAGGGCCATTTCATGATAAAAAGGCCAGTTTGTCAAGGAAACATGATACTAATCATTAGCCACATAGCTTCAAAATGAATACACAAATTAACAAATTCAAGGAAAAATAGAAAAATTCATAGTAACAGATTTCATCATTCTTCTCTTGATAACTGATAAAACAAATGAAGGGACAATAAGTGTACAGAAGATTTGAAGATATGCAATGAACACGACCTAATACACATCTGTCAAAACACTACTCAGTACTAAAACATCCTTTCTTGAATGCCTCTCTGGGGGGTAAATGGAATGAATCAGGCTTTTTACACCTTACACTGTTAACCTCTGTGGCTATCACCTGCAAACTTGATGGTGTTATTGCAGAAGGCACGGGAGCTGGGTATGGGCACCGTGCCTGACTGTGAACAACACCTGGAGTGGCTGTGGGCAGTGCTGGTGTGCACACTGAGCCTAGAGGCCAGATATCGAAGGGCGGTCACTCAGCGATGGCTCCAGAGGAAGGCTGTGGGGGACGGCAAGACTACAACAGAGGTAAGCCCATGGGTGCTGGAGGAAGCCTAGAGAAAAAGTTAAGATCGGGGGGAGGAGTAAGGGGCTGAGGGACCTCTGTTGTCTGTCTGCCTCCTCCTCTCCCACCCAACCCCAGCATCCCCTTGCCATCCTCACCTCTGGGGCCTCCTGGCTTCCTGCCTTGCAGGTCTGCAGCACTGCTTACCACAACACTCTCCCCCCATGTATGTGCTGTGGCCCATTCACCAAGACACCCATATTCTGGGCTGTTAAACAAATTTCACTAAGTTTAAAGGGATTCAAGTCATGCAAAGTAGGTATTCCTTTTACCATAAAGGAATTAAATTAGAAATCGGTAGCAGAAATCAAGATCTTCAGCTATTTGGAAACCAACACATTTCTAAATAACTCATGGGTCACAGATGACATCAAAAGGTAAGTTAAACAGCTTAAGCACAGCACTGT